ACCCGCTCACCGGTCTTGCTGCCCTGTTTCTCTAGTATTGGGGTCCCTGTCCCTTTAAGGCTTCCAAAAAGCACTCACCAAAAGAAAAGAAAAAAAAACCGCTCCCGTTTCTTTGTTCTCTGGCGTTGGCCTCAGGCACCCGCTCACCGGTTCTGCTGCCGTGTTTCCCTAGTTTCCAGGACCCCATGCATGCACTGTGTCTGTGCTCTGGCCCGGAATCCTGGGGCTCATGTTCAGCAGTCCTGGGCTCCCTAGCCCTCCTTGCTGACTCCTCTCCACCCGCCGGGAGCCGTGGGGAGGGGCTCTTGGGTCTCGCTGGGCCGGGCTTTTATCTTACCCGCTTCGCGAGGCGCTGGGTTCTCGCAGGTGTGGATGTGGTCTGGATGTTGTCCTGTGTCCTCTGGTCTCTATTTTAGGAAGAGTTGTCTTTGTTATATTTTAATAGATAAATGTGGTTTTGGGAGGAGATTTCTGCTGCTCTACTCATGCAGCCATCTTGGCTCCCTCCTCAAAAAATGAACTTTTAATGTGGCTGTGTTTAGATTTTAAATTAGGCCTCAGAGGTGAGAGGCCAACAGTTCCTGGCAGCCCATTTATCTAGCACTCGGTGCTCTCCTGTAAGTTATTGCCCTGGGGAAGCCCATTGTATTTGGGCAATGATATGAGCACTGTGAATAGATACTAATCTGTATTATAGAAGTCTCTCATAGAAGCCACAGTGGTTGATACTTAGTACCGTAGGTTAAGGTTTGAGGGTTATGTGAAAATTACCAGTGAAATAGTTTATATTAGGATCCTACCTAGAGGTAACTTTTTTTGAAAAAGCACATTTTTAAATTTCTTGGCAGGTGTCACTGTTAGTAGCATTAAATTCAGACTTGAAAGCAAATCTTGCTTCCAATGCCCCTTTTACATAATTATACTGGCTTCCATTTTATTTAACTAGAACCCCATGACTTACTGTAGTATAACCGTCATTTCAATATTGCTGATTCTTTTGTTTGTTAATTCTTTGTGCACAAGGGTGGCTTGATGACCTTGTCTGATTTAAGAATAAGCATAATTACTAGTGTGACCAAAATTAAAAGATAAAATTGTCCACAAGTTATAACTCAAGGAAATAGCTGTACAGCAAAGCATTTGTTGTAGGGAATAAAACAAGGTAAAATAACTAAACATTTGGCAGGAGATCTAATTTTATCTTAGCCATTTTAATTATATTCCCCTAGGTAAAGATAAGTGATTATATAAAGTTTTGGGAATCTCCAAGATTGCTTAACTACATGTTGAAAGTACAAATGATTACCTTGCATTTGTATGGGAAGTTAGTTGCAGTATAAATTGTCAGATTTTGATGAGCAATTTGTAACTGTACCAATATATCCATTGTAGATGTAGTTCTGGAGCAGAAACAAACTAAATTACTGGGTCTGTGTTTACCCAAAAAGAAAGAAGCAACTTTCTGGATAAATTGAGTTTATAATATGATTAATTTACATTTTTCAAATCAGTTCTTAGAGTAACTTCTGGCTATTTCTGATTGGTCAATGTCAATGGGGTAAACTACAGTTCTACTTTTTTAGTTTCATACTGTTTTGCATCTCAAAATCCCTTGAAGTATGAATAACCAAAGGAAAATGTAAATAGTTTTTTTTTTTTTAAGGAACTAGTAATTTTAGGCCTGGACAAATTTTGTAGGCCTAATCTATAAAAAGGAAAATTTTCCTTCTTCAGCAGAATTGCAGATGGAAGAAGGCAGGTCAATGAAGAGAAGTTACCCAGAGATTTCTGAGTAAGTTTCAGATAGAGCTTGTTGAAGAACTATGTTGAAGAATGACTGAGTTGTCGTAGGGACATGTAGTGGATGTTCTGTCCTGGACATTTTTAAACAAAGGTTTAAAAATCCTCCCAGGGATATTTTATAAGGAGAGAAGGAAACTTACACTAAGTCAACATTAAATGGTGACTTGAAATACAAGCATGTATAACCCTCATTTCTTCTCCATTCTTAATCTTATTTATGAGGCATAATGTCTGCTGTAGCAGAAGATTGTGTTAACAATTAGATTGATGGTTGAGTGCTAACACGAATCTTAACCCAGTCCCTCCGTATTTTAATTGCATTTTTATCTATCAGTTAATGTGATTGCATTTGCTATCTTAGCAGTGTTATGTCTTTTTTTAAAAAAAAAGGAAGGAATGTAAAGGGTTGGAATGTAAAAGGCTGGAAAGCAACCACTCATCCCTCCAGTAGTGTAGAATTCCTATCTGCAGACATCAGAGGCAAGAGGGAAAGTGTCAGAATTCATCATGTCATTATGTCCTTTGATGTCTGTAGCCCTAATGACAGATCATCCTGAAATGGGATATGCTCTGACCAATCAGAAATAAATTGCCAAAGATTATCCTCACAAGTGACCTGACCAAGAAATATAAATTCCATTATATTATAAACTCAAAACTCAGCCCACAAAAAAAGTATGTGATTCAGATAAATGCTTTTTTTTGCAAGTCATTTATGGCTGAATTCAGGCTAGTAGCAAAGTCCTTTTGGCTGTTACCTGGGCTCAACCATAATTCTTGGCAAAGGTCACACAATTTTTGTTTTAGAAATGAGGTCAGCGCCATATCTTATGCTAGTGTGCCACCACCTCGGCCTCCCAAATGAAGCAAAGAACCAAGAAGGAAGCTATAGCAGTAAAGGTAGAGTACACAAAAAAATTAGGAAAAAGCAAGACTATAACAACAAAGGCCGTCATTCTGAAGACTACTTAGTTCTAAGAGTCTTATGTCTCATTTGTTGACCAGAGCATATTAATATATGTGCTATTTTTGAGTTTAATTATTATGATTTACTCTAGACCCTGTGTCACGGCATTCCAGTTCTTTGAAAAAGATAAATTAGGCAGCATTGCTCCATACCTGCATTTCACGAACTTCTCATGTAACCTGGGCATTCTGTTTTTTAATCCTTTAATCTATATTCGGTTGGTGAAATGTCATGAAGCTTAATTTTTTTTTCCCTAAATACACTATGCATTTTCAGTCTTTTCTTCTTGAGAATGACTAACTCGGGTGTGTCGGCAATGAAGAGAATGGCTGTTGGTCACGCGCCTCTGCTCCTTTCTGTCCCGTGGGTCTTGGCCACAGGGATAGTTGCATTGAAGGCCAGCGCCCTACTGAGTGCATGACTCATCCCAGTATTTTAGGCTACATCAGCTATTTTAGGTTTAATAGCTTCTTTCTTTTTCACCCTTTATTTAAGAACTGATGTAAAAACAAAATTATTAAGGGAGTCTACTGAATGAAACGTTTTCCTCGCTCTAGAAATGCTCAAGGAAACAGAGGCTAGCCACACCTCTGCCCACCCCCACCCCCAGCATGGAATAAATACCATGTAAACCAGACTCCATTTAAAAAATTCTACTTTAGACTGCATCCTCTTCCATATGTTGAACTTCTAAGTCAGTTGTGTGGGTAGGATATTTATGTTTCATTTTAAATTAGCAAGAGCAACTTAATAGTGTAAAATAAGCCCTTTCTATACTCAAGACATTGACAGTGTGTTGAGAGTAAGTCTGATAAACACTTTACTGAGAAGAGTTCTCTTGCCGAGTGTTGTTTTTGGGAAAGACAGTAAAGGCTGCTGTTTGTGTAAAGGTACCACCTTATAACATCTGGTAGGGAAACACTCCATGAGAGACGTGGGATTAAAGTCATCCCTCCAGGGTTTCTGTGGCACAAGAACTGAAGCAAAGGAGAGATGTAGCAACTCTTAACATGCCTCAGCAGTTATAAAACTTATGCTGGGGTGAAGGGAGAAATGTTTGCCAGCCCTTCTGCCTTCTGATTGACTGGACTGATAAAAAAATGTTAACTAAAACTTTTCAGTTGTTTCATTTATAGCCACGTTTGCTTTCTCTCCTTGGGGTGGTCACTGAAAAATGATTCTGAAGACTTTATTAAACCTTTTGCTGGATGATTTCATATAGATATTGCGGTCTTTCCTAGCCAACTTGGACATCTAGAATTGAAGGACAGCCATTCCTTCCCCTCTGTTTAGTGCAGCATTTCCAGCCAGTTACAGCTTCACTCATTAGAATAAAAAGTCTTGAGATGTAATGAACGATAGGTTAAATACCTGAATGTGCAATGGATATGTTGATGAGTGATCTCTGTCATAGGGAGTAGCTGCATCTCTAAATGAAAAGGTAACTGTGAGGATGTCCATTTGTGACCAATATTGGTGCAGTTAGGCCTGTGTACAATTGAAGCTGCTGTTCTCAAAAATGAAATATTGAGCAAAGGCCTTCGTTGCACATTCCAAGAAATACAAAGAGGGTCAGATCTGTATTTCAAGTTTTGTTGGTGCTATTAGCTTAGACATGTTCCCTTAAGTGGGTCTGTTTTGCAAGCCTAAATTTGAGCCTGAAGAATTTCTCCATATAAATGTCTTAAGTATTGCGGTGGTACATCCATCACCTTTTTGCTTTTGAATTACAAAGATAACCTTAAGATATGAGCCTTATACTGTGCCATGTGGTGCGTACACAGAACGGGTGAGCCTCCTTAGTGATGCAATCAGCCTGGGCCCAAGAGGAAAGTTATAGACAGAGAGGATAGAGTTGATGAAAACATTGATTCTTTTCCATTAAACTGTATGTGATGTGTTTTTTATGAAGCAAGCGTCAGCTGAAAGAGAAATATTTTTTCCACTAAAAAGAGATGGATGATGAGAGAGAGGAAAAGTGTGTAAGAGATCAGGGGATAAATATTTGTCTTATTGCATTACCATCTCAAAGAATGGTAAAAAAAGGAAGAATTATAGGATTAGAGAAAGTTGAAGGCATTCCATTGTAGTTACTTCAAATGTTTACTTGGACTTGATGCTATTAGAACTTTTTAATGTTAATAATGGATTTGGTTTTTTTTCCCAAGTACATTTTTACTTCACACATGATCATTTTCTCAATTGTAAAAGTTGTGTTGCTTGTTTTCAGGTTTACCAAAGATGCAGGTCATTAGGAACTATGTCGGAACCCCAGCCCCAGCTCTCCAGGAAGGACCTCCCTTACACATCCAGGCAGGGGATACAGTTGAACTTCTGAGAGGAGATGCACACAGTCTGTTTTGGCAGGTACTATCCAAATTACCATTTTTTAAGATTTAATGGATGATTTATTATTGCTTCAAGAATAAAGCTTGTGTCTTTAGAAACTGATTGCATGCTTTCAGCATCAGAAATTTTACATGATGTGGAAAATTACATGTTTAAAAGTCTTCCTCATATTTATCAATGCCAAAGTGGCAGTGAGTATTAGAAAACTAAAGAAAAAAGCATCAGTGTTGTAAATTATAATTAGTCCATTTTTACTAAAATTTCATACTTTGCCAGACTATTTTTTTCCAAACCTGGGAGCTGTGGGTATTATCTAATTTGCATGCCTTTAACATATTAGTAGTTCACTTCAGGGGAACTACCTAATTAGCCTGACAGTGACCATTTCTGGCCATATTTAATTTGTGCTTACCGACAGTAATACCTGAAATTCTCAAAGGTGGTCTAGGCATTAATCATGAAATATATGAAATATGAGAAGTAATGAGGATGTTGATGTTTGCTGGTGATGAAATTTATTTATGCCAGGAAGCCCATATTTTGTTCAAAGATTTTGTTAACTCAGGTAAATTTGGTATGGTTAAGATTTCATAAAGCTAGATGGCAGAACATTGCTGTTCACTAAACTATTCTGTTTTCATGTGTATGTTAGAAATATTTCCCAACATAATTAAAGAAAGAGTTTGTTACAAATCTGTTGTGCATTGAGGGAAAAGGGGTGGGATCAATAGAAAGATTAGCTCATGAGTGAGATGTGATTAGGGGTAAAGAGAGAGCAGAGAAGGACTGTTAGATAATAATTCATTGTGCACATGTGTAAATGATGCTATTTTGTTTGCTTTAAACTATTTTACTGTGTGCCAGCTTGTCACAGAAGAATGCCCTTAGATTGAACATTTCAATTGCTATTGCCAACGACTTTTCCAAAGTTTCACCATTCTTAAGTATCCTACTCCTCCCGTACATCATGCTTCCCAAAGAAGTAGAGAAAGTATGACAGACTTAAATTCTAGTAATTCTTTAGTTTACTTCTGCATCTCCCAACCCAACCATAAACCATCCCCATATATGTGCCCATGAGATTCCTCTTATTAAGACATCTCTTCTTGTATTTTCCATCCCACATTTCATCACCTGGCTCTTGACCTCTATCTTCAGCTTCATTCTCTTCTCTGGCTCCTTTCCTACAGCATATACATATACTCAAGTTCCTCCTCTCTTAAAACACATCTAACTCAACCTTTTGTCTGGTTATGTAAGTCTCTCACCCCCTCACCTCCTTGTAGCCTGTCTGTCTCCCCTTCCCAAAGCTAAGCTTCTAGAGATGAGTTTCTGCCTCCTTATATCCCATTCATAATGCAGTCTCATGCAAAGCTACTCCTGCTTGGATCACTAATGTCACTTATTAAAAAGCAGCTTTGAGATTATATAATAAACTTCACATAAAGTGTACAATTAGATATGTTTTGACATATATACATGTGAAACCATTGCTACAATCAAGATGATAAAATCACCCCCGAAGTTTTGTAATCTCTCTCTCATGCCCCTGTTACAACAATCCCCTAGCAAGTACTGTTCTGCTCTCAGACTATTGAATTTCAGAATTTTTTATAGTACATCATATGGTATATACTTTTTTTTTAGTTCTTTCACTCAATATAATTATCTTGAGGTTAAACCGTGTTGCTTTGTGTAACAATAGTTCTTGTTTTTTAAAACCACTTTATTGAAGTATGATTGACACACAAAAACCTGTCCATATTTAATGTATAAAACTTGATGAGTTTGGAGATAAGTATACATCCTTGAAATAATCACCTTAATTTATGCCATAAATATATCCATTGCCTCCAAAGTTTCCTCTTTCCTGCTTCTTTTTTGTGATAAGAGCACTTAAGATTTAGCCTCTTAGCAACATTTTAAATATACAATAAAATATTATTAACTGTAGACTCTGTGCTGTACAATAGATCTCTAGTACTTATTTATCTTGCTTGAAACTTTGAAACTTTGTACTCTTTAACTCATACTTCCCTGTTTTCCCCCACCCCTGGAAATCATGATTCTCTTTTCTATTCCGTGAGTTTGACTATTTTAGATTATTCTTGTAAGGATAGCCAAGACATGGAAGCAACTTAAATGTCCATCAGTGGATGAATGGATAAAGAAAATATGGCAAATACATGCCGTATTATTCAGACTTGTAAAAGAAGAAAGTCCTGCCATTTGCTAAAACATGAAAAAACTTGGAGGACACTTTGCTAAGTGAAATAAGTTCTTTTTATTGCTAATTATTAATTCACATATGAATATAGCATGATTTTTTATCCATTAGCCTGTTGATGCACTTTCAGGTATTACCACCAAAGTAACAGTGTGCCATGGACAAGAAGACATTCTTTAACCTGTCTGAGCAGTCCTCAGGATAAACTGATTTTGTAGGCAGTTCCCAAGGACACTGGGAGCCAGCTAGTTTCCCGTAGCAGAGAAATGGATAGAGAGTTGTCCTATTTTCTTTTGATTAGTGATAGGTGGTATATTTTTCTCCCTCTGTTTACTCTTAAACTGTATGTTTTATATTTAAAGTGGATTTCTTGTGTACAACATATAAATAGGTCATATTTTTTGATCCATTCACAATCTCTTTTAATTGATGCATTTAGACCATTGACATTCAAAATTATTATTGAAATAATTGGATCATCATCTACTTCATTCATAACTGTTTCTATTTCTTGCCCTTGTTCTGTGTTCCCATTTTTATGTTTTCCTTTTCTGCCTTTTGTGGTTTTAACTGAGCATTTTATATGATTTTGTTTTCTCTTGTTTCTTGGCATATCAATTATACTTTCTTCTTGAACTTTTTTAGTGGCTGCCCTAGAGTCTGTAGTATACATTTATAACTAATCCAAGTCCAGTTTCAAATGACTCTACCACTTTCTGGGTAGTGTGAGTAGCTTATAATGACAAAATAATCCAGATTTCCCCCTTCTGTCCCTTGTATCATTGCTGTCATTGATTTCACTTTTATACAAACATACATAAGCATGTATGTGTGTGTGTGTCTGTATGTATGCATGATGTATACATAATTGAATATATTGTTACTGTTATTTTGAATAAACTTGTTGGATCAATTAAAAATAAAAGTTAAAGTTTACATTTTACCTTTGCTTATTTCTTTTCTTTACATAGATCCAAGTTTCTGACTAATAACTATTTTCTTTCTGTCTGAAGAATTTTTACCATTCCTTGCAAAGCCCACTTATTGGCAGCATATCCCCTCAATTTTTGTTTGTCTGAGGAGGCCTTTATTTGTCCTTCACTTTTGAGGGATAATTTCATAAGGTAGAGAAGTCTAGGTTGGTGGTTTTTCCCTAAATATTTCACTTTACTCTCTTCTTGCTTTCATGGCAGATGTAATTCTTCCTTTGTTCCTCTACAAGATGCCTTTTTCCTTCTTAAGATTTTTTTCTTTGTATCTTTGATTTTTCTGTTGTTTGAAAATGATATGTCTAGTAGCTATAGTGGGTTTGGATTTGTTCTGTCTTTCACGGTTGTTGTTGTTTTGGCATTTACCTTGCTCGGTGCTTTCCTGGATCTTGAGTTTGGTGTCTGACATGAACTAGGACAAATCTCAGGCATTATTGTTGCAAATATCTCCTGTTCCTTTCTCACTTTCTCCTTTTGGCATTTCCATTATGTGCATGTTAAACCTTTTGTAGTTGTCCCACAGTGCTCGAATATCCTGCTCTGGCCTTTTCAGTCTTTTTTTCTTTTTGTTTTCCAGTCTGGCAGTTACTATTCAACCTCAAGCTAAGAGATTAAATTTTCAATCATATCCAGTGTGTTAATAAGCCCGTAAGAGGCATTCTTCATTTTTGTTACAGTGTTATTTTACTTCTCTCATTTATTTGGTTCTCTTTTAGGATTTGCACCTCTCTGCCCACCTTGCCCATCTATGCTTGCATGGTGTCCACTGTATTCCTTAGAGCCCATAGCATATTAACCGCAGTTGTTTTAAATTCCTGGCTTGATAGTTCTAACATTCCCACATGTTTGGTTCTCTGATGCTTTCTCTTTCCTCAAATTGTGTTTTTTGCCTTCTGGTATGCTTTGTAATTTTTTCTTGACAGCTGGACACAATGTACTGGATAACAGGCACTGCTGTGTATAGGACCTTGTAATGTGTTGGGAAAAGGGCAGTGTTCTAGAGCCCCATGATCAGTTCTCAGTCTTTCAGTGAGCCTATAGCTCTGCACAGTGAACTTCATAAGTGTTTCTTAGTGTTTGTCTCCCTGCTGTGGTGAGAAGGGGCTGGAGTTGAGTGTTTCCCTTCCCCAGGTCAGTCAGGCTCTGATAACACCCCACCAGGCCAGGCTTTGGTTAACCTTCCCGTGGAGGTAAGGCTTGTTGAGAAGAGCAGAGTGTCTTTTCCCCTCCCTCTGCCAGAAGCCCACAGGTATTTTTCTTCCATGTTTACTGTGGAAATCTGGTGGAGCTCCTGAGGGAAAACTTCACAATATTGTGGGGTTCCCCCTATGACTTGGTCCCTCTGGAGTTTTTAACTCTGAGAGATGTCAGCGCTGAGCCTTCAGCAAGTTTGACAGTTACAGGCCAGATTTTCCTGCCTCAGCACCACCCTGGCTCCCACAGCAGTGTCTGCTGGTGAGTCCCTGCTCTAGTAAGCTGTGGCTCCCTGTATTTGCCTGCCTGTCTCTCCAGTCTTAGGGACAGAGATTTGTCCTGTGTCCTCCTCTCTTATGGACCCAAGAAGAATGACTGATTCTTAAAATCTGTCCTGCCTTTTACTTGTTAGGACAGAGTGACCACTTCCAAGCTCCTTCCATGTGTAACTGAAAGCCCCAATGCTCTTTTTACTAAACTGTATTGCCTCCTATTCTTTTTAGATAATAAGAAAGACATTATTATTTGTCATTTACTCTCAGCAGCCTGGAAGCATGAAGTTTCTGGTATGATGGTATAATGGCTTTGGAAACTCTCAGAAAAATTGG